TTTTTTTTTTTTTTTTAAGTGTTTATTTTGAAAGCACAAGCAAGGGAGGGACTGGGGAGATAGAATTCCAAGCAGGCTCTCCTGTCGGCACAGAGCCTGATGAGAGGCTCAATCTTAAACCATTGAGATCATGACCCAAGCTGTATTCAAGAGTCGGGACTCTAAACTGAGCCACTCAGGTACCCCAAATTAGGGTAGATCTTAACAGCCCATGCCCTCTTAATTTCTGGTATCCCAGCAATACCACTTTCTCCACATGTGAACTTAGTCATCAGCTTTTGTGTGTATTAGTTTAATTGCTAAGTGTCTTCAGAAGGAGGTCCAACATCAAAATGTTAACTTGTATGTACAAAAAGGCACACAGAAGCAGCAGGGCATAAACGTTATTAAGGAAGGATATCTTATTGTTCAAAGGGTAACCACAATTCTGTATTTTTGTGCAAAGTGGCAACCAAATTTTTCTCGAGGCCTGGGCAAGGGAGCTGTCCATATCTGTAATGCAAGGAATTGTCTACCAAATACCAAGCAATGCATTTTTATTCATGAAAAGTGTGAACAGATGGATGAAATTTCAAAAAGAGGCTGCTGTAGCCAATTTATGCATTTTGCAGGACTATCAGATACACGGAGTTGGCAGTGTTTTCTCATTCTTGGTACGTGGTGCAGCTGATGTCCTCTTCGAGTTGTAATAAAGAAGTGAGTAAATCACGTGTGAGTTCAGTCTTCACAGGCATTTCCTTATCTCACTTCGAGTCTAATTATTTTGGTAGGCTTACATAGGATGCAGACATTTCATGTTTGATGCCAGCACAGATAGGCAAGCATGGGTTTGAAAAACAGATTATTAAAATACCAAGAGGAACTAAATGGTCGATTTGGTAGTGTGTGTTCAGTTTTCCTCCAAAAAAGTTAACAGCAGAATTCATTCTGTAAAGATGTGAAGGTAAATCTTTATGGAAAAGAGGTTCATAAAAGAATCCGTCACAGGCTGCTGTGAAACATACAACTCTGGGTCTCAGGTTGTGAGTTCAAGCCCCACATTGGGCTTAAATAAAGGGGCATCTGAGTGGCTTAGTCGGTTCAATGTCTGACTGTTGATTTTGGCTCAGGTTGTGATCTCCTGGTCCTGAGTTAAGCTCCATGCTGAGTGTGGAGTCTACTTCAAATTCTCTGCCCCTCCATCACTCGCGAACACACGTGCTCTCTTTATCTCAAACTAATAAACTGTAAAATAAAAATACATAAAGCATGTTTACCTACTACTTGTTAGTACTTTTTTGTTTAAGATTTTAGTTTTAAGTAATCTCTGCACCCAACGTGGAGTTTTAATTTAACAACCCTGACATCAAGAGTTGCATGTTCCACCAACTGAGCCAGCCAGGTGCCCCTATAAATAGTACTTTTGATAAGTGCTATTCTGATACAGTTTCCCTTACCATCTTTTGGGTTTTTTTGTTTGGCAGTTCACATTTTTAAAGATTTACTTATTTTTGAGAGAGAATGTGAGCCGGGGAGGGGCAGAGAGAGGGAGACAATCCAAAAGTAGGCTCCAAGCTCTGAGCTGTTAGCATAGAGCCCAAAACAGGGCTTGAACTCACAAAACCGTGAGATCCTGACCTGAGCTGAAGTTGGACACTGAGCCCCCCAGGTGGCCCTCCCTTATCTTTTGTGCTTTCCATCTTTATGAGACATGCTGGGTAGATTCAAAAAATTAACAGTAATTCCATAATCTCTAGTCCATGTTCAGGTTTCCCCAAGAGTTCCTAAGAATGTCTTTCATGGCCTGTGTTCTTCCAAATGGGAGTTCAATTTAGGTTTATGTTTTTTGCATTTATAGTTAATGAGTTTTTAACTTTAGTGGTTTTTTTTTACTTAAAATTTGTATTTGGTTATTTTTTCATTATTTTTAAAAAGTGTCTTATTTGGGGGCGCCTGGGTGGC